AGATGGTTAAATTGAAATGTCAATGTGCAAATTTACTTTACTAAATTCACTTAAAGGAATACTATAGTCACCTAAAGAACTTTAGCTTAATGAAGCAGTTTTAGTGTATAGATCATGCCTCTCAGGTTTCACTGCTCAATTCACTGCCATTTAGGAGTTAAATCACTTTGCTGCTGGACATTCATTGGCTGAAAATGTCAGCTGATTGCCCTTAGCCAATGAATGCAACACTGTGCATAGATCTATGCACAGAATTAACATTAGCCAGTCTGGAACTCTTGTCCTCTGGCAGCAGAGGGGTTAAACTACATATAAATATAATTTCATAGCAAAACGCTGCACATACCGAGTCCAGGCACTATGACCACCTCAAATCAGTAAAGTATTCCTTTCTAATATATATATTTATATATGTGTGTGCATGCTGCCCATGTATTGCATATATATGAATATTGTATATATTTTATATTTTGTCACTACATGGCAATCCCTATACCATCCCCATAATATCCCAGTCACACTGTGCCTGTATGACGATGACTGTCTTGCTACTGTAACATGGTGAGTGTGGCAGGAATGCTTGGGTTAGTGTGACAGGGTTGCAGGGAGAGTGGCAGAGTGAGGGAGTGAGTGAGACAGGGTTGACGGGGGTTGACCGTGGCAGGGTGAATGAAGGGGGTGAATATACATAAATGTTTGAGTTTGGGGGATGACAGTGTGCAGAGAGGGTATTTCATTTGTCCACCTTCCTCACACTCTACTGCCCGTTTTAAATGTATTTTATGTTTGTCCTACTCATGGTTACTTCTTGGACAGGGATGGGGTAATAATCCATTCCCTGGTGGTCCAGGAGATTATCAACTCCATCTCCTTTCACCTTCCCCGCTCAATCCCTCTTTTACCACTGTCAGACAGCAGGTACCCAGAAAAATATATTAAATTATTCATATTTCCTTTCCTCACCTCTCTTTAGTAGTGCTTCCAAGTGCCATTGAAATAACAATTATGAGTGATTATGATTTGTCAGGACACTTCACTTGTGCACTGACTTCTGTGAGCGTTGAAAGAGCTGAGATATAATGTTCCATACCCTACACACTGCAGCCAATGCTCAAGTGAAGCATCTTGGGAGAGCATGATCACTCTCAGGACTATCATTTCAATGCCGCTTGTCCGCATTACTAAAGAGAGTAGTGCACTGACTGATAAGTGAGATCTTTAATCTCCCTCATAGGGCCATCACTTTTTTATGTTGGCCCTGTATGAGGCTGACAGGGGAGATCTTTTGATTAAAATATGTCCCCTGTCAGCCTTGACCTGTAGTCACTGCAGCCCACCAGGCATTTGCCCACTGTGGCCACAGGCAAGTCAAACAGCACAGTGAGGGCACAGTTAACGCGAGGCCTTAGACGGCAAACTAACTTGCCTAATTAGAAAGCCACCTATGACTGTCACTTACCTAATGGCAGGGTTACCTATCCCCATATTTAAAAATACATATTTGTATGATGTAAAATAAAATGAAATGTTAAAATCCATACCGCTATGTGCTGCTACTAGGCGACTCCATATTATACCCCTTTCAGTCATTACTAAAAGCTCTGTCTTTTCAACCTGGCAGGTCGCATAGTGAAAGCATTTAGAGAAGAGGGGTAATTAAAGGGACGGTGTAGGCACCCAGACCAGCTCATTGAAGTGGTCTTGGTGCAGTGTCCCAATACCCTAAACCCTGAGCATGTAATTATTGCAGTTTTTTAATAAACTGCAATAAACACCTGCTAGGGTTAACATCTACTCTAGTGGCTGTCTAGTAGACTGGGTAGTGACTTCCAGGTCTTTTGGTCATCTAAATGACGATCTGCATGAGGACTTTCAGCGTCACCAGATCCCCATAGGAAAGCATTGAATAATGCTTTCCTATGGGAAAATCCTACTGCGAGCGCAGCCATTGCCGCACATGCGCATTAGGGATCTCCGACGGCTGACAGTGGTGGAAGAGTGAAGGCAGATCCAAGCCAGTGCCAAAGGACAAAAATATTTTTTAACCCCTTTTGCACCACATGAAGGGGGTGGGGGCGGGGTGGGAGACAGAGTGGGAAACTATAGTGCCAGAAAAACGAATTTGTAAACCTGGGACTATATTTTCTCTTTAAATATTTATCTTTCTCTTCATTTGCAATGTTTGGTTGGATTTTGCCTTTTCTGAAATTGATTATGATGATGTTTACTATCAGGGGCGTTTTACCCGCGAGGCAAACAAGGCATTTGCCTTGGGCGGCATTTTTCAGGGGGCGGCAAAAAAAGCCGCCCCCCAAATGCCCAAGGCAAATGTCATGTTAGCCTCGCGGCTAACAGACATGCTGGGCGCCGGGCGGCATTGGCGAGCGGGCGGGCAGCTGACGAGGGAGCTTTTCCTGTGAGCTGACTGCTCAGCTCCCTCGCGTGCCGCAGAGTGAGGCTGGGAGCCGGGATATGACGTCATCTTCCGGCTCCCAGCCTCACTCTGCGGCGCGCGAGGGCGCTGAGCAGTCAGCTCACAGGAAAAGCTCCCTCATCAGCCACTCGCCCGCCAATGCCGCCCACCCAGCAGCCACTGGACCACCAGGGAGATAGAGAACCCCTTCCCTCCCCAGCACTCCCAAAGGTAAGGAGGCTGGAGGAGGGGGGAGGTTTAAAAAGTACATGTGTTAATGTGAGTGAGTGTGTGTTATTGTGTGTGTCTGTTAGTGAGTGTGTGTGTGTGTCTGTTAGTGTGTGTGTGTGTGTGTCTGTTAGTGTGTGTGTCTGTTAGTGAGTGTGTTATTGTGTGTGTCTGTTAGTGTGTGTGTGTCTGTTAGTGAGTGTGTGTTATTGTGTGTGTCTGTTAGTGAGTGTGTGTTATGTGTGTGTGTCTGTTAGTGTTATTGTGTGTGTCTGTTAGTGAGTGTGTGTGTGTCTGTTAGTGTGTGTGTCTGTTAGTGAGTGTGTCTCTGCTAGTGTGTGTGTGTGTGTATTTAGAAGGCGGGGGAAGGGATGGGAGGGGTCGCGCGCGCGGGGGACAAGGGATGGGTGGGGGGTCGCGCGCGCAGGGGGGGGTGGGGGGCGCCTGAGTTTTGTCCTGCCTAGGGCAGCACAAAACCAGGATACACCACTGTTTACTATACATTTAATGTTCACTGTAAAGAAAAGAGAACACCTTGTGAAAGTAAAATCTAACATATATATATATTTCAATATTGTAAATTGCAAAAAATGTAATGAAGTGGTCTGGATGCAGTGTCCCTGTTCTTTTAACCCTAACCCTGTAATGTTTTTTTTTTTTTTTTTTAATTAAACATTGCAGGGTTAAGCACTTCTAGTGGGTGCCTACCAGACAGACAGTCACTAAACGCGCTTCGGCTGTACTTACTGAATAAAACACAGTGAGACACGTCAGTTCACAGTAAAGCATTACATTCAATTAATTCAATGCATTGCATGTGTATCAGGCCCCAAATGATCTTCTATGAGGAGTGTTGAATTGGCCATCGGCTCCAGAGCTGGATGATGTCATTGGAGGCGGAGCGACAGCAGCACAGAGGGAAAAAGTTAAAATTAAGTAAAACAATATTTTTTTGTTTTTTACTGAAGGTGGTGCTAAAACTACTAACGCAAATAGGTTTGTATTTCTAATGCTATAGAGATCCTTGAAATGTCAGTGGGTACAGTATTCTAAAGGCCCCCATTTGGTTATGATAGCTGCCTTTTAACTTACAATTTCATTATAAAAACCCTGAAATAATGATTAAAATGATTAATAAAAACTAGGCAAAATCTGGGTTTCAAAAATATGCATATATCGCTACAAATCCAAAGGTTGACAACGGTCTTTTTTGTGGTGGAATCAATTCCTGGATCTTCCTCAATCATCAATCAATCGTCAATCTTCCTGCTCCTCCCAATAAAACAAATGCTACTGAGATGGTTAATAATTTATCTATACCATAGGATATATTTGAAAACTGGAATGCTAAGTTCAATATTTCTGCTGAAATACTATACTAATATAAACCTATATCTTTGAACATTTTTTTGATTTTACTGATGTATATGTTTATATAAATTGTGGTAAGACCACACATGGTAAATTTCCCACAGTGCAAACTGAAAAAAAAAAGTGCTATGTGTCACTTGCATATCTCAAGTTGGACTTTGGGAAGAGAAATCAAGTTCCACAACTATCCCAGAATTCCTAGCTTGTCATGCAAATGAGCACAGACAGTCATCATGATTTCAAGGGGGACTTCCCAAAGTCCAACTTCAGATAGCTGATACTTTCTATTTCATGTAGTGAATTAGTTTAAACAGTGTTTAATAGGTTGGTTTTAAGATAGCCACCAAATCTATTTTACTTCTATTTCACACACACAGTTATTAATTAAAGTAAGATTTGTCTGTGATTCAAAATAAATTAAACATTTAGCTCCAAAATAGCTGACTTGGAAAAAAAAAGTCAGTTGTAATTTGGTGATTTGGTTTACAATTTGAAATTCCCTTTCAATTCCCAACAATAGTGACTTTAGTGAATAGGCCTCACAGTGTTTAGAGCTCAGAACATCTGGCAATTATCTAGTGATGTCATGATGCATTTGTTATGTCATTGTTTGACCCACTGAGTGATTAGCCACTGATTATGCTGTGTATTTGGAGGCTTTGAAAAAGGTACTCTACTCACTGGTGCTACATTTTATTCAAAGAATTTAAATAATCCCATTCTCCTCCTGCTTTTCCACTTCTGAAAGTAAGTAATCTTAATTTATTATTATGAACTCAAAATGATTGCATAGAAAAACATTTGTAAATGGTATTTAAATGTTAAGATGGACTAGATATAAGGAAAATTGTTATTTTGGAAAGTGGTTGGCAGAAGTGGTATATTAGTTGTTGGTTTTTGTGGTTTTGTTTGGGCTGTTAAACTATTGTGATGTCCAAAGACATCCATACAGAGGGACAGACCAAATTTCGGACACAACAATTAATATCAGTGTTCAATGCCATTTGCTGTCAGTACTAATTGGGTGGCGGTTGGAAACAATACCTGGTGGTCTCCAGGTCAGAAGTCAAACCATACTAAAACAGTTTGACTAAATAAAGTGGAGATTTGCCAGGGCACTCCTGGTACCATATCACTACAGTGCACTGTGGTGGTTATGGTTCTGGTGTTTTCATTGTTCTGTTATTTGGGATTAGATTGTAATGATAGAGTAAATATAACAGTAATTGGGGGAGCCTATATTCTTCTCGAGTGGTTTTATACAGATATGCAAAGCCATCTTCCTTTTGTGTTTTTATACTTCACCTCTCTAGACTGTAAGCTCGTTTAAGCAGGGTCCTCATTGCGTTCCTGTCAATATTTGTAATAATTTATATCACTTGTTGTTAAAGTCTGGTCAAGCTGGCGCTATATAAATGCTAGTAATAATAATAATAATAATAACCATCATAATATTAGATTCTTGACTTCTTTGGAAAGTGAATGTTAGGTATGGAGGTAGTTTACATTTTCTGAAGTCTCCTATTTGATATGAATCACATTATGTTTCTTTATGTATTCAGCCTATTACAGTCCTAAAGTCAATGTATTTTTGGCACATGTTGAGTTGGCTTAAGGCATGCTAGTATGTCACACACAGCGCACTGTTTGAAAATGACTGATCTACTGTATACCAATGGTTAGCCTATTATTTAAATCTTCTTCCCCTCATGTTTTCCTATACCAATAATGATAGGATAAAAGGAACTGGTGACAAAAAGGGCAATTGGAACTGCGTATCTGACTTATAATATCCATTAATTAAGAAAAATGATAACTATCTGCATCAGGGGCAAAGAAACAAAAATTGTGTTCACCAGCTATTTACGGAAGAAAACCCCATCCTGTACTTGAAACGATACACAATTTGTTTCATTGTTACATTACAATCTATGTTGAAACAAAAAACTAATGTCCATCCAGTTCACCCTCAACCTCAAATATACACATTCACATTCTTTAATCTGCATCTTAGATATTTGCTACATCCTATTCACATTATAAGCAGGAATGCTATACTTTGCATTGGGAGTACTGATAGAGGCATGCATATAGCACCACTGGCTAGACCAAACTAAAAACTATATTTAGATATAATGGTAAAAGGAAAGGAAGCAACATGGGCATTATATAACCACAAAAACAAGGTTTAAAGGACTACTATAGGCACCCAGACCACTTCAGCTTAATTAAGTGGTCTGGGTGCCAGGTCCATCTAGGGTTAACCCTGAAGCTGTAAACAACTGCTGTGTTTACTTTAGGGTTAATCCAGCCTCTAGTGGCTGTCTCACTGACAGCCGCTAGAGGCGCTTCCGCGCTTCTCACTGTGATTTTCACAGTGAGAAGACGCCAGCGTCCATAGGAAAGCATTGAGAATGCTTTCCTATGGACTGGCTGAATGTGCGCGTGGCGCAAGCGCATTCAGCCGATGACATGAGAAGAAGGAGGAGAGTCCCCAGCGCCGAGGGAGCCCGGTGCGGGAAAAAAGGTAAGGGATTAACCCCTTCCTCCCCCTTCAGCGCAGCAGGAGTGGGACCCTGTGGGACCCTGAGGGCACGATAGTGCCAGGAAAACGAGTTTGTTTTCCTGGCACTATAGTGTTCCTTTAATATAGGCACTATATACATTCAGCAGTCACAGCTCATCTAATATTCCTCACTAGTTGTATATGATATAAAATCTACAGATGGACACATAAAAGGTGTGTAAAGTAAGGTTAAGAAAACAGCCCAGTGAATTGTGATCCAGAATACCTCATATTGTGCCTTCTCTCATTTCGACATACCTGTCCACACCACAGATAACATTAAAAGTCAAATTGTTAATACACGCTAACATGATAACCTAAACTTATATATCACATTTCAACATATGTAGCCCAGTGAATTGTGATCCAGAATACCTCACATTGTGCCTTCTCTCATTTCGACATACCTGTCCACACCACAGATAACATTAAAGGTCAAATTGTTAATACACGCTAACATAATAACCTAAACTTATATATCACATTTCAACAAATATAGTTAATTGTTACTCTTAGCAAAGGAAACTTCACTAAAAATATCTCTAAATAAGAGGTACGAATTGAGAAACCAAAAAGATGGTGCTTTACGTAGGATCATCCATTAACAACCAAAAAAGTGGTGTCTATTAATTATAATGCCTAAAATGATGAATTGTTAATAAATATGGGTGTAGGTGGGCGGGGACAAACAGCTTGCACGACAAAGGTAAGTAGGGGGGTAGGGTTTATATAGGATCATAACTCCTCCCACAAATTCAGGCCAAATGGCCTTCCAACTTGTGTTTGGAATGTATCTAATACTTAATGGAATGTAGAAGGAGAAGCAAAGTTGGTTGAGGTGTGCCAAAACCAATGTACGAGTAGGCCTGTAAAAGAGGGCAAAAGAGGATTCAAAGAAAAACACACTTTATTGCAAGTTTATAAAACTTGTGTACTGAAAGCTTGTAAGAAGTTTAACTTTGATTGAGGTATATTTGTAACAGAGCTGAGGATTACCTGTGGCCCCATCACTTAGTGATGTAGACTGGGGTGTAAGAGCTTGAAGCTGCTGATTCAGCACTTTTGCGAAAAAGAGAGACCAGCGGAGGAAGCCATGATGTAGCTTACCTTAATGGAAGGTCTAGACGTGAAGTAATGGATTAGTACTGATAGTGTGTGGCTGTCTTTGGATACGTAAAAAACGTAGTGACAGCATAGGAGGTATAAATAAGATGCTTGATTTGTAGGTTTAGAGGAAGAGGCAAAAATTACAATAGTTTAACTGCAAGAGTCATGAATCAAGCAAACTCTACTTGTGACATGATGCAATATACAAAGCCCTAGCGTGAGTGGCAGAGTAGTCGTGAAACTGCGTGAAGCGTTCATAACTGTACGACGTGTAATTGTGTGCTCAGTCCAAGATTAGCTCATGGAATAGTGGTATCCTGGATGGTACGTAGTGGCTCCTAGGGGGTGCCTGAAAGAAGACCTTGAACTGAGTGTGAAAGAGCGTCAGCGGCTGTGTTGTGGACGCCAGGAATGTAAAGGCAGACTAAAAAGAGCTGAGAGGTTGCTGCCAGCCAAGTCAGCCTGTAAATCAGCCACAAAATGGTTAGTGAGGATGGCCGCCCGAACGTAGGCCAGGTGCCATAGTGAAGGGTGAATAGGTAGTAGATTAAAGGCGTTGGATAAGTCCATCTTGCTCAACCAAGCCTTACTACTTACTGAAGTGATAGCTTGTATGGCATGGTCGATTTTCGTAGTGCAGTGAGAACTTCATAGCGGGAATGAGGGAGTTTGATGCTGGAAATGGATGTAGAGTGCGGTGCGGAAGAGGTCTATGATCAGTATTATAGGGTATAGTGAATGGCTACCTCGATGGGAATGGTACGCCAGGATGAGAAGTGTGAAGGAGGTGATCGTGAAACCAGCGTATGACTGCTGTGGACAGAAGGTGGTCCACCGTAAGAGGGTCAAAGGGTGCAGATAATAGGTTAGGGCATACGAGTGTACCTGTGGGAATGGCGATAAGGCCCGTGTGAACCCCTGTGAGAAACCCGGCACAAAAATCTACCAGATGCCTAGCTGGGTGTAAATGCAGATAATATTGCAGGATATCAATGTTAACCTTAGTTGGGCGTGTCTTAGGTGACAGACGGTCTACGTATGTGGATTAGGTGTGGGTTCTGAAGCAGATGTGCAAAACCCTGCATGTTGTGAAATAGCATACCCCTGTATCAAAGAATAGTGCACCCAAGCCTTCCCCAGAAATGAAATGGTCAGCCCGGCTAGTCCCTCTGGCCGCCTCCCTGAATAGTGCGTGGAGTGAAAGCGTGGTGAGAAGTGGAAGTGGCTGACTTTATGCGAGAGGCAACGATAAACAGAGGAATGGAAAGCTTTGTTAAGTCGTGGTCTTGCTGTTTAGGACTACTAAAATGTCGCCATGAATGTAACCTTAATACTGAAGGGTGTCTTGTGAAGTTAAGTAGTGATGTAAGTTTAACGTCCTTTCCATCGAGAATTACCTTCTCCATGGAAATTGGAACAGAGTGGGCTGGTGAGACGGATGGAGTAGTGATAGTGGGTGGTGGAGGACGGGGAGGGAAATGAGGGGTAAGCCTGTATGACCGAGATCGCCAGGTGAGGGCTTGCCGGGCTTAAAGAGAAACCTGGTGTGACTATAGCCGATTCCATTTATCAGCCTGTTAATCATTTGGAGGCTGGCCAGGATAGTGACCAGGGTCTCCTGATTGGAATCTGAGGAGAAAGCTGACGGCCCTTGTGAACTAGAGCCGGGCCTGGGAATGTTGGTCTGAGCCGTCGTGAGTCTGAGTAGTTTTGCCTTACTGGCAGTGGCTGGGGGGGGGGGAATACCCCTGTGTCTGAGCTCTGCTGATACGTTTTTGAATGTACCATAATCCCAGGAGCTGAGGGTAGAAGGGGTGAAAGGGATTCCTTTGGAGACCCAGGCCAGACTGGCGCGCTGGGTATTCCGTCCAACAGCATACTGATTATTGGGATGGATACTTGTGACATTCTGAAAAAGAAATTATGATTTGGATAAGTAATGTGTCTTAGAGGTGTGGATGAGACCTTCGGAGAACTGGCCTGCTAGATAGTGCCGAGGCGAAGTATTTACCTAGAACCAAGTGACAGGTGAGGCCCTGCTAGTGCCACTGGTGACGGACTGCTTGCTGGAGACTGCTTGAGACAGGACTTGGCGGGAACGACGAACCGGAAGTGCAGGTAACTATGGAGACAAACAGCTTGCACGACAAAGGTAAGTAGGTGGGTAGGGTTTATAAAGGATCATAACTCCTCCCACAAATTCAGGCCAAATGGCCTTCCGACATATGAATCAATCAATCGTCAATCTTCCTGCTCCTCCCAATAAATCAAATGCTACTGAGATGGTTAATAATTTATCTATACCATAAGTAAAACAATATTTTTTTGTTTTTAACTGAAGGTGGTGCTAAAACTACTAACGCAAATAGGTTTGTATTTCTAATGCTATAGAGATCCTTTAAATGTCAGTGGGTACAGTATTCTAAAGGCCCCCATTTGGTTATGATAGCTGTCTTTTAACTTACAATTTCATTATAAAAACCCTGAAATAATGATTAAAATGATCAATAAAAACTAGGCAAAATCTGGGTTTCAAAAATATGCATATATCGCTACAAATCCAAAGGTTGACAACGGTCTTTTTTCTGGTGGAATCAATTCCTGGA